TTGTGTGAAGCTGTGCAACAACAGTGCAAGGAGATAACTTCATTTCCAAGCTTTGAGCACAGATGAGGAGAAGACAGTTAGTCCATGTTCAGTATATGAGCACCTTTCACCAGACAAATGGAATGTCAATCAAGTGCCGGCACACAGATGCCTTCTCCCCGGTGGGGACCGAGATGCTTTCTGGTGAGGCAGTTCTGTTGTTCCAGCCTTACTCCGGGTGCACTGGGAATATTTTGTCCTTTTACCTCTCCACATCCCTTTGCTCCATTTCGGATCCCCTGACTATTAAGGATTTCTTCAGCTCCCGAACTTTGCCTCTTTAGACATGGCCTCTTTTCTCCGTCCACTTCATTTGGATGTAGTCTGTAACAGCAAGGGTCATCCTCAACGCTCCACCTGTGGGCTTCTTTTTGTTCTAATTTTCTTTCACCACTCAAGAATTTTAGTACGAGTCTAAGTCTTCCGTTATAAAGGCTGCACAAAAAGGGGCTGCCCCTAAAACCCTTTCAGAACACCTTATTGTCACTTAGCATCCAGGAGAGAGCAGAGCGTGTCTCTGCTATTGGAAGCTAACCGTTAGCATTAGCATTCCACCACATGGCAGAACCCCTTCAGGCTTGAGTTATTTGTGGAGATAAAACGTCAAAATTGCAAAGCAAACAGAGGCAGTAGAAGAGCTGCATTGTTTTTAGCCAATCGGTGGTGAGATCTGTTGTGAATTCCAATGAGTAAAACTCCAAATCCTGACATTTTCCACCCATCACTAACTGCTACTTCCTGAAACAGGAGCGCCAGAGCTTTTTTCAATTTCATTTGTCATCAGCATCAAACAGAAGCAGGCCTAAATATATTACTTCTATAATTAGCAATAATTGACCTTTGGCCTGTAGCAGTCTAGTACCAAGATGATGATTTTTCAGACTGAGCCCAGGTTAGATTCAGGTGCAAAGGCCTGGTCATGGTGTCCTAGCCTGTGGTCCTCCTGGTCTGCCTCTGTAAGGGTTGGTCCAAGGTATTTTCTTTGTTGCAGTTTTATTGAAGTTTTCAAAATTGCATCCACTCTGACAGCCCCCCCCCCCCCCCACACACACACACACACATCACAGCCCCTGAGAACATGACCCAGCCGCTCCACTGTCTGTGTAAGTGGCATGTAACGTAATAGACATGTTTCATCTACGAGCTCCCTTCCCACCGTGAATGTTTCAGATGTGAAAAGGCAGCTAAAACGTTCCATGGAGCTGGTCCAGGTCTACAAATCACAGAACAATTGCAACACAAGCAAGGACAAAGAAACCAGCATGTTGTTATTCCTGTTTTGTTTACCTCGGCTACGGAGGTTTCAAAGATAATGAGTACTTTTATTTGTTGAAATCTGCATGCAACTTTTATTTTTGAAAGCTTCCAGAACTTTTACACTGCTTTTGTGTTTGACTTCCTGTCTAGCCTGATCTGAACTGTGGAGTTTGACACACTCTGGAAGCGTAGCCTGTGAAACATAGACTTGCAGGCACATAGACTCATCCTTTAGGCCGGTAAAATACATAGACTGGCAGGCACACTTACAAGATGTAAGGCTTTGCAGCCGGTGGAAACACACCCATCCACTCCTACTGTGACCAACCGCTGCGTACTACGTTTTACAAATGTTACGCAACACTTACACGTCTGGCTGAAAGGCTCGGGAGAGTCCTTAAACCTTATGAGGGTTGTGATTTTACTGTGTGTTTTAGATAAAATGTGAAATGCATAATCAGTTTACTGTATAGGCAGAAAACCTTCCTCATAACACTGCCCTCTCCGTGCAGGTGCATTATAATGAGAATGATTATTTATCGTGCGTGGGCATTATTTTACCTTCTCTTGATTGACAGCATCTAGATGAAGGGTGCACAGCTTCAGTCCTGGAGGGCCGGTGTCCAGAAGGTTTTGTGGTTTCTCTGCTCCAACACACTTGATTCAGTGGTTGAATCACCTGTACAGCAGCTCACCAGGCTCTGCTAATGGCCTGCTGATTGAAATCAGGTGTGTTGAAACTGATTTAAAACTTAAACCTGATGGATACCGGCCCTCTTAGTAATGGGCACCACTGACCTGAATGGAGTATCAGGATTACCTTCATCATAAACCTGCCACATCCATTCATATACGTATACTGCCCTCTGGTAGTTAATCTACATGTTGAAAGGGCCAATTTTATTTCTTTATTAGTTATCTTTTTATATACTGACAAAACCAAATAAAACAGATTTCTACTGAATTTCCATTAGCCAAAAATACATACACTTCGAAAACCAGATTTTATTTCTTATTTCCCATCCATCCATTGTCGACCACTTACCCAGAGTCGGGTCGTGGGGGCAGCAGCCAAAGCAGAGAAGCCCAGATTTCCCTCTTCCCAGCCACTTGGGCCAGCTCTTCCGAGGGAATCTGAAGGCGTTCCCTGGCCAGCAGACAGACATAGTCCCTCTAGTGTGTCCTGGGTCTTCCTTTAGGTCAGGGGTGTCAAACTCAAATTCACACGGGGCCGAAATGAAACTCTCGAACGGAGTCGAGGGCCAAACTTAATATTTTTTTAAAAAGTGATGGCAAATTTACACATTTTCTTACAATTTTGAACCTTTAAATTTGGAAACAAACTTATTTCTGCATTAACGCTGAATGTGGAATAACCAAATGACACACGAGCAAGTCAGTTTTAAATAAAAGGCATCAGTGGTATTCATTACTTGTGGTATAATCAGCATTTTAAAAATCTATTCAGGATTTATGTTTTCTTGTTTATTTATTTTTCTTATTTTTTATTCTCCTTTTTTTCTCCTGTAACACGCGTCATCGCTGCTGTGACGTCTAGCTTTCCCCACTGAGGAAAAATAAAGGGATTTTATTTTAAAGGGATTCTGACGCCGCAAAGCATCATGGGAGTTGAAGTCTTTGCGGTAAAATCGGCCAGCGGGCCAGTTTTAATATATTTTTTATATTTATCTCGCGGGCCACACAAAAAGTCTCCGCGAGCCGCATCTGGCCCGCGGGCCTTGAGTCTGACCTATGTGCTTTAGGTCTTCTTCTGAATAGACATGCCCAGATAACCTCACCAGGGAGGCGTCCAGGAGGTATAGGTGCCCGAGCCACCTCAACTGGCCCCTCTCAATGTGGAGGATTAGCGGATGGTAAATGGTAAATGGCCTGTCTTTGATATAGCGCCTTCTAGAGTCCTGGAACCCCCCAAGGCGCTTTACAACACAACCAGTCATTCATCCATTCACACACACATTCACACACTGGTGGGGATGAGCTACAATGTAGCCACAGCTGACCTGGGGCGCACTGACAGAGGCGAGGCAGCCGAGCACTGGCACCACCGGTCCCTCCGACCACCACCAGCAGGCAACGTGGGTTAAGTATCTTGCCCAAGGACACAACAACAGTGACAGACTGAGCGGGACTCAAACCTGCAACCTTCCAATTACGGGGCGAGCACTTAACTCCTGTGCCACCGTCGCCCTACTACTCTGAGCCCTGCCACCCTGTGGAGAAAATTCCTGTCCATGCTTATATCCGTGATCTCATTCTACCCTAAGCCGATGACCATAGGTGAAGGTAGGAACGTAAATCGAGAGCTTTTCCTTGTAGCTCAGCTCTCCCTTCACCACGACAGACAGGTACAACACCCCTATCACAGCAGATGCAGCAGAAATCCGCTAATCAAACTCCAGCTCCATCTTTCCTTCACTCGAGATACTTAGACTCCTCCACTTGGGGCAGGAACTCGTCCCTGACCCAGAGAAGGCTTTCTACCATATTCAGACTGAAGACCATGGTCTTGGATTCAGAGGAGCTGATCCCATCCCATCTCATCCCAGATGCTTTAAACTTGGATGCAAACCACTCTAGCAAACGCTAGAGATCACTTTTTGAATTCAACAGGACCACATCATCGCAAAAAACAGAGACCTGATTCTCAGGCCACCACAACGAATCCCCTCAACACCTTGGCTGCGCCTACAAATCATGTCCATAAAAGGGCAGCCTTGGTGGAGTCCAACGCTCACCTGAAACAAGGTTGACTTACTGTTGACAATGCAGACCAAGCTCTGACACTGGTCATACATAACAGCCTGGTACCCTGAAGTACCCATCACAGGGCCCCCCCGAGGGACGACGCCTTCTCCAAATCCACAAAACACAGATTGGTTTGGCAAACAGTTTTTTTTATCTCCACAATATAATTATAGCTAAACTACATCTATTACAGTGTTGTTTAGAAGCATGAAAAATGTTTTAAGCTAGCTTGTTTTGCTGATTAGCCATTGTAGCTTTAAGATGCTTTTGATGAATCTCTGTGTTTATAAATGGAACACGAGGAAATTGACTTACACCAAACAACACACACTTTCTAGAAACCTCTACGCCATCTCTGATTACTGTCTTCTCTTTTTGAGCATGTTTGTATTTAAAAGGGTAAATTGTGACATTTTTAATGTTCCTTCAACATTTTCTGTTTTCCTTCATTTGGGTTGCAATATAAACAGAATTGAACAAAAAGGTGAAAATAGAAGAAAACGTGTTTCCACTTCACTGGGGCATCTTGAGAGTTTGTTATTAAAACATGACAAGCCATTCAACTGCTAAAAGTGCTTACTCAAGGGAATTCATGAAGTGGTTATTGTTTGATTAATTTGCTCGAGGGGGACCAGAAATATCCCCACTCATGAATATGTGGGTGACAGTGAGATTTCTCCGTGGTGACAAGTTATCTAAACTACAGGGCAAAACGATTATGCTAATATCAGGTTGTAGTCATCAATCATGTCATGTCAAAGTGATGTCAACGCGTCACGTCCCGGGTCCCCCCACCCCCCCCCCCACCCCCTCCGGCCATTAGCGTGTGCAGACGTGCGCGCGTATTTGGTGAATTGATCATACTGTACTCGCGCCTGGGGAGAGTTTGGGGGTGGGGGGGTAAAAGCTGTCCTGGTGGATCAGAGCTGAAAGGAAGCTGGGAGGGAATGAATTGAGGGAGTTTCTTCATCTTGATCAGGCTACACTGAAGAGCTGACGTCAAGGAGACGCACCTTAAAACCAAAGAGCGCATCACAGGGAGACGCATGGGTAGATCACACACAAATGTGCTATTGGCCAACTGAGACACACCAGAGGCTGCAGCAGCTGGATGAGAGAGGCGGAACCGCGACTGAAGCCCAGAAGTTTCTTTCCATGGTTCTTTTTTTAAGCTTGTTGCCATGAAAGTCGCGCGTAAAAATCTGCGCGCTCCGGCTTGGATAGGGTGCTAGGTGATTTAGTGATGCTGAAAAGTGGAAAAAATCCAAATGAAGTAGTGGGATTGGGGAAGCCTGCGTGTTGCACGGATGCTGTTGGATGTCTCTGTGCGGTTTTTGCTCCTACTTTTCTTCTTTTTTACCCGATTTGAGCCATGGCTTACTCACAATTAGGATACTCCTACTCCACCACACCGCAGGTACAGTATTGTTGCTCCTTTGTTATAAAATATAGAAAAACTAAAACATTTATTTATCTAACAACAGGTCTGAATAAAAAAAGATTATTATCTCAGCAAAGTGCAAATACAGTTAATTTTACGCAATTAGAATTTTACATAATTTGGAGTCCAAGAAGACTTTATTTTTTTAGAAGGATGAGCAGTTTCCTCTATATGCAAGTCCCGTTTTCTCTCTCTAGTTCCTAATGAGTTCTGGTTCTCTGGCTGGAGCTGCTCCGACACACCCCGCGCTGCGCTCTCCGAGCCACCAGTTCACTCCTGGAGGAAGCATCGGACTCTACAGCGGCCCTTATCCAAAGAGCCAAAGCTATTACAACTCCTGCGCCAGCGACGCAGCTGCTCTCTACTCCAGGGTGAGCGCAGGTTTCACTTTGTTTAGTTTTTCATTTAATGAATAGAACAAGAAAAATGGATGTGTGTTGAAATAAATAAATCTTAAACCTTCCCAGGGGGCACTGGATCCCAAAGAAGGTGCCTCTGTGCGAGTCGGGACACCTCAGACCCCTGCCTACTATCCTTATGAATACACGTTTGGCCAGCATCCCTACGACAGATATGGGTAAGTCCATTTCATTGCATGTTTAGTTTTCTAACTGAAATAAAATGTAAAAGTTTTCATTATTTACTCTTTTTAAGTTTTAGTATTTTGTTTATTTTTTATTAAGAGCCAGTGTTCACAAGATACCTCTAAATTATGTGTTTGTTCCCCTTTATTGCTAATTCATCGATTTTCATCTAGAATCTTGTTAAATATTTTTGATTTGATTGAATCATGAGTTCCACCAATCACCTGTCTCAGGTATTCCTGCTCAGACAGCTCCTCACGTCGTAAGAATGCCACTCGGGAGACCACCAGCACCCTGAAGGCTTGGCTGCAGGAGCACCAGAAGAACCCCTACCCAACCAAGGGTGAGAAGATCATGCTGGCTATCATCACCAGGATGACCCTCACACAAGTAGGTTTAAAAATAAAACATCTAACAATGAAGAAATTCATGATGGTGTTATTTTAGCTTAAATATTTATTAAAAGTGTATGGAAACGCACATACTTTTGTTTATTTTTGTGGGTTTTTTGGGTTTTTGACCCTGAGCTCTTTTCCTCCGTCAGGTGTCCACGTGGTTCGCTAACGCACGCAGACGACTGAAGAAGGAAAACAAGGTGACGTGGTCTCCACGGGCTTGTAAAAGCTCTGATGACCGAGACTGTGATGACAACAGCGGTGAAGCTGAGAAGACACAAAAAAGTGACTCACACCTTCCAGGTGAGAAAGGCCCGAGTTGGCACTCATTTTATTTTTTTTGTAGATTTGAATATTATATGAAGACTCATTCATTTTTTATTTAACAGATCAACAGTGTGCAGATCTACAGAGTGATCAGGAGGACTTTGACCTCCTGGAGTCCGACACATCTGACAGCGATCCTAAGTCACAGTTTCTCCAAGAGGATACTGAATCCAACCCGAGCTCTGCACAGCACTCAGACCCACTGCATGGACAAGAGAAACCCATCTCAGAATGCTTCAGACTAGCAGCAGTTCAGCATCCGAACAACTCCTTCTATATTCACCCAGACACTAAACCCAAAATCTGGTCCATTGCTCACACGGCTGTGCCTCGGGAAGCCAGCTTGCTGCCAGAGTACCCTGCCTGCATGCTGTCATCCACCAGGTCCGCCTCTCCAGGGTACCCAACAAACATGACTCTCACTAAGGGAGACAGGCAACAGGAATCACCCGTCGCCACGCTCAGAGAGTGGATGGACGGAGTTTTCCACGGTCCTTCTTTCCACCAGCCCAAACCAGCAGAAGTGTGGAAGGGCTTAAATGAAACCATGACAGAACAGCAGGACACAATCCTTTGAACTCCTCCAATCTGCACTGTCTTTGTAGTCCAGAACATCATCATCATCATCATCATGGGACCATTTGATTTTGGGACTGAAACCTTTGTTTCACTGATTTGACAACCTGACTGT